CGTCTGTTTATTCTGCCGATACAGAGTGAAAGGCAACCGGTAAGCCAATTATTGAATAACTTGGCGTTAGTTGTTTTTTACTTGACACGATCAGTTGCTTATAGCTCCAAACTCATCCACCATCTTTACCTGATCCACCAGCTGAACCTCGGTTCTCCGGACAATCTCGGTAAGTTTTGAGTCGCGATGCTGTTGCACTGCAAGTGACATGTTTTTGTAGTGTTCGTAAACGAGTACCTCGATCTTTTGGCTTCGAAAATAAGAGAGTGCGTGGAAGGTAGGCAGCTTTGGCGGCTGTTACACCGGTTCTGTTTTAGGAATCAGTGTATCTACTGCGAGAACACTTTTGAAAACCATGAAAGTCTAATGGAACACATGCGTAAAAAGCAACATCGCGAAGTGAACCCGAAGAACTTGTACTACGACAAGTTTTACGTCATTAATTACTTGGTAAGTGTTACCATAATGCATATTGCTTTTTTGAGATACTACTAAAAGGCTTGCTAATCAAAGCTGTTGTTCATCATGAAGGGGAGAGAACGATGCCAACTTGGACATCGCTGATTTGTTTCAAATTTTCGCTGATCGACGACTAAATGACGCAGGGAAGTCAACTTGCTGTCAAAGGTGGTGAACCATAGAGGCAAAATCTATAGAGATATTTTACTGTCAGATAATTATTTTATTGTTAACTGCGGTACTGAATCTCGGTGCTGGAGGCTGATTATCCGATACTAAAACTGAGGAGAATAAACTGATGGTAACGGAAAGAACGAGTGTGAAGGTGTGCAAGTCATTCCTCCAGTATCATCCAGGGCCAAGCAGAGACATCCAGCAGTGCATTCATGTATTAGTTTATTAACCGACGTGATTTCTGCCATCTACGAAGCCAAAAGAAGATGGACCGGTCATGTAACTCACCTTGGAGACAACCGCTGGACGTCAAGATTTCAGACCGCGTTCGGCATAACTATCGTCGAGTAGGTCGTCCAAGAACGTACAGGGATTATCTGATAAAATTATTTTGTCAGCATTGGAAGCAGAAACCAGGAATAATTAAAACATCCTTTTATATATTTATAACATTTATATTTAAAATTCTTTTCACAGTTACAGTTTCTCTAAGATTTACCGAGCTTCAGTTAGCAAATACAGTAAATTAAAACATTTGACGATGAGAAAAGAAGCTATGCAGCTATCACAGAGCTTGTTTTTATTAGCTGAGACGTACAGAGATTCTTTTATCACCAACTTAACTTCATCATCTTCATGGTCAGCCACTGAAACGTTTTCTTATACAAGGTGTGACCATGTGTGGGCACTGAA